TAACAAACTTTATGGAGTCTGTAATAAACTTTTGTACTACTACTACTACGTCTGTAGTTTCTATTTGCTCAAAAAAATTTGCTCTGCATTGTGAATAGAAGGTTGATTTGTAAATATTATTGGGTATATATGTAAGTTAATAATAAAATATGAACAATTTCAATTGAGATGGTCCACAAGTTTTTTTCGTGTGCGTTTTAGTAACATTTTGCTGAAATGGTGAATACAGAATTTTTTGCACTGATTCCTAATGTCGAAATATGATTAGAAAGGCGTGGTATATTCCTGATAATTTACTATGCTTTTGATAGAATTTACAGCAACACATATCTTGTACGACATTTTTTGATAGATCAATCACAATAGCTTGATACGGCCCTGTAGCGTCTCCTACGGTTAAGTTCTTGATCACGTGCAATACGGGTGTATATGTTTGATTTTACTTTGTTTCTTCGATGGATACAGTTTAGGATTTTATGTTTTCCATTCCATTCCTAACTAAGCTTTGGCAATGTCAGTGAATGACATTTTTGAAACGAAAATTGGAAACGCTATTGGCATCCATAAGAAAAAATAAAGTTAATGCCGGAGGACCAGAGACGAAACGTAATATTGGAATTCTAGTTATGCCACCTCGTAAAGGAGAAGAAGTGGCAATATTGATGAGCAATTTATATTGAAATTCAACTACAAATAGAGTCAGAAAATAGTTATTTACTTAATAATAATAATAATGGTTTATTGGTGCTATTACACAGAACGTGCTTACACAAGTCAATATAATAGAAGCACTCAGTTACAAGAAGAAAATAAATGACATACAATACATATAATAACAAACAGTACAGATTACACACACTTAAATATGGTTAAGAGGATGACAATAAAAGTATAAAAGATAAAATTGTTACAAACTACGTTAAAATCAATAAATAAATAGCATAAGAGGTAGAACTGAAATAAATATTTTATGCATGGTTCGAATAAGTAGCAAAAAAGGGAAATGTAGCTTGAAATATACCTATTGAGTATCCGTGGAGAAGTTGTGGTTCAGGAACTCGTCAATGGTGAAAAAAGCAGCCGACAAGAGCAATTTTTTCACAGCATTACTGAATTCATTGTATGCTAGTGATCTTAGTTCCTTAGGTAAAATATTATAAAATTTTATGCCATGGTAGTTAACTCCATTCCTTGTTTTAGCGAGTCTATGTTGTTTTGGGTACAAGTTGTCTCGGTGCCGGGTATTATATGAATGAGTTTCATGGTGGCTTGTATAAAGGTCAGGATTTGACTTGACATGTAAGAGGCAGCTCAATATACAGGGTGACTTTGAAGTTGAGTCATTAATTTTCAGATAATGACTGTAGAAGGAAGATAAACCAAAATATGTGTGTAAAAATAAAAAAAAAATAAAAAAATTTTACCTTGTTTTATAAAGTATCCTCCCGACAAGTATTTCAGTGCGGACCTGTATTTGATCGTGAGGTCTTGGAGCACCGGCATGCAGTCCCCTGTGTGGTCTTAAGTCACCTGATTCACGAGCCCGTTGTACTACATTAACAAAGGCACGAGGGGTTGGTTGCACTCGATTGGGAAACCGATCCGCATAAACATGTGCCATTTTTTATTTCGTTTGAGCCACGCAACAGACACTACTATTCACTGACACTGACTGTATACAAATGAATAAAATAATTGTAAAAACATCGTTCCAAATTCTTTCGCTTTTTTGTTTCCGATGCGATGAACCGATACGGCGGATTATATCCGTTGTCGCCAAACACGAGCACATAATATTATTATTGAGACAGGGCGGTACTCAAACTTCCAAAGGGCTATAACTTTGTTACTTTAATTTTACCAGAAAAATGGTAAAGGAAAAAATATTTCTTTTGATCAGATCTACTCACTGTTAAAATAAATGACTCAACTTCGAAGTATATGTGCCAGGCAAAGTCATGATCATTAGTTTGATAAAGTCAGATCTGCAGGGATCTCTATATCTTAGATTTGCTATATATCGGATACATCTTCTCTGTAGGGCAAATACTCTGTACATGTGCGGAGAGTGGCCCCACGCCAGAAGGGCATATGTCATTTTGCCATGGAAGTACCCATGGTAACTGGTCAACTGGACGTTTAATGAAATTGAGTGTTTTAAATTGCGAATTAAATAAATTATGCTTGTTAGAGATTTGGTAACATGACTGATATGTTCATACCAGTTCAAGGAGGAGTCGATATAGACACCAAGAATCTTCACAACCTTTGCGTGGTCAGCATTCTGATTGTTATTTCGAAGAGTGATTGTCAAGGATTGAGATTTGTTTGAATTTAATGTTAATTTGTTAGCTATAAACCAATTCTGAATGCTAGATATACTGGCCGTCGTTTCGCTGTTGATGTTTGTAAATGAATCGTGGGCTGAGATCAGAGTGGTGTCATCAGCATAAAGAATGAGCTTACTGTTCATACTATTAAGAAGACAATTTGGTAGGTCGTTTATATACAGTAAGAATAACAAAGGGCCAAGGACAGATCCTTGTGACACGCCATGTAAAACTGTGCTGACTGACGATGTGCAGCCATTGTATTCGACAAGCTGTTGCCTTTGCTCTAAATAGGATTTTAGGAGGACTACAGCAGAAGGATCGATTGAGTAATACGGTAGCTTTGAAAGAAGTACATCATGCTGTACACAATCGAAGGCCTTGCTCAGATCGAAGAAATTTGCCTCTATATATTGCTTATTTTCAAATCCATCGTGTGCAATGTCAATAAAACTGTTTATTGCAGTAATGGTTGATAAGCCTGTTCTAAAGCCATATTGATGAGAATTTATTAAATTGTTGGTTTCGAGATAATTGCTCAGTTGCTCCTTGAGTATAATTTCAAAGATTTTCGCGGAGTAGGGTACCAATGATATAGGACGGTGGTTCGAAACTTCGTCAACAGACCCGTCTTTATATATAGGAATTACCCTGGATATTTTTAGAGCTGCGGGGAAAATATTTGATTCTAAACACGTATTGATTAGCTTAGTAAGCGGGTAAATAATTACGTTTAACATCGATTTCACAATTTTACTATTAAGTTTATATACTTCGGTGCTTTTAGAGTTTTTGATAGAATTAATCGCATCCCTAACTTCATTGTATGTAACATCACGAAAAGAAAATTGATTTTTTTCTGCTATGATTATCCATATAGCTTAGTAGTGAAGTGCCATGTGACGGTAAGCTTTCCAAAAGGTTATTAACAACGGTGGTGAAAAATGAATTAAACTGGTTAGCGTTTAGTGTTGTGGTAATTTTTTTATCGACAGGAGCTGCATTGTCTTTTATAATACTCCTTATCGCCTGCTGTTTATTATTCGATGAGTTTATATACACATCGTGTGCATCTTGCTTACGTTTTACTATTTCAGCTCTGTACTTGGATTTCAGGCAATTTATTTCGGATTTAGTCACAGTTGATGAATCGATTTTGTGCAATTCTATCAAGAAAGTTAAGTGATCGCGCATGCCACGTAACTCATTGTCAAACCATTGGACTTGTTTCTGTTTATTTTGGAAAACGCGTGTTTTCTCTGGTAGACATTTACCCACCGCATCGGTCACAACACGTATGAACAGCTTAAACTTCAACTACACGTTTAGATTTGCATCATTTACAAACTGCCAGCCAGTACTTTCCAAGCTGCTGTAAAGTAGAAAAAGACCAGTATCAGTAATTGGCCGATAACTTACCCTTTTGAAGCTGTTTTTTACCAGGCTGGAAACAACAAAACTCGATCCCCAGGTGATCCGACAAGTAAGTATCAAAGATATTCGTTTTGAGAAAACAGCTGCCTTGTATGTTCGTGAAAATGTTATCCAAGCAATGCGACCCTCTTGTACGGTCCCTGATCATATATTGCATTCCATAACAGCTAAACACACATCAATAACTTGGTTTGTCTGCTCATCATTGCTACCAAATTTAACATTAAAATCTCCAGTTATCACTACATGCTTCTCATAGTCAAGCTGGTCTAATGTAATACATAGCTTATTTATAAATCTATTGAAGTCACCTGCAGGAGATCTGTATATAGTGAGAATCTGAAGTTTATCAAAATATATGCCTGCAACCTCAAACGTCAATTCTTCGGCCTCTATCAGACATGAAGTGCGTAAAGGTGAAGCATTTGAGTCCGTTTTTACATATATGATAACATCAGCATGAATTTTTTCACTCTGCTAAAATTAGAAATGGATTTATAACCGTTTATGTTAACGTAGTTAATTTCGTCATTTAAGTACCAGTGTTCATTTAAGCAAATTACATCATAACTGTATTCAAGACCTAATAACGCTATATCGTTAACCTTTTGTCGTAGGCTCTGTATATTAAGATGTAACAAATTTACCATGCATTTATTATTAGCTCGTGTTATCTTATTACTATCTAAATTTGTATACAATACATTATTTGAAACGCTAACATTTAGGAAGCTATGATCTTTGTCATTCAAGAAAAAACCGCTTATGGCATAGTACTGATTCAGTATTAATTGTCTTCAACGTGATATTATTTTTATTTGGTTGCTCAGTAGGATATCATGGAAATATCCTGCAATGCTCTGTTTTGAACCTTTCATGCGATTGTCATAGGTGAGCGATATTGACGTATTTCTGTTAAATTTCCTATAATTGGAATTTATTCTATTTATAAGGTTATTATCAGAGTGTGAACTTAATTCGTATAAGCCCTTGTTTAAACAATAGGAACTATTGATATTTTGAGTCTTAATCATGAAAATTACAAAGTCGTATTTTCCCTAAGGTATTGTTTTCGTGAATATATCCTTGGTCGCCATTACAAACTCGATATTTGGCTTTACATAGGACTCAATGGTAAACCTGGATTTTTCAATGTACAGTTCTAGAACTTTTCTGAAGTTCCTGGCATACTCGTCACCAAAAACAAGTATCTTCGTACGGTCGTTTGGGTTGTTTTTATTTGTTGCTGCCGGTGATGGCAGGACAGCCGGTTCTTCGGTACAAGGCTCCAAACAGTACCTCGTCAGTAGGACACTCGACTTCACTCTCCAGACCACTGGTATCGGTTAAGTCGATTGAACATTGAATAAGACTGTTAGTATATGATGAGCTTCCATCAGTTGGTTTGTTCCCGCACGCTGGTTTCCTATATGGTGGTGGATCAGGTGTTTGCTTGTGCGCTTGAGTCTGTTTGCATTCCACACTCCGATAATAACTTTGGCTCAGATTTTAACTTTTCTATCAAATCTTTTAAATGGATAATGGTTTTTTCCTTATTCAAAAGCTCATTAGATAGTTTTCCTGTTTTTTCTTTTAATTTTACAATGATTTCACTCAGCTCATTATTTTTGGATTGTTCACTGGCTAGTTTGTTTCGAACATCTGATAGTATTTCTTCCTACGTAACAGTTTTGTCTTCAAAATCATCAGCTTGTAGGTGAATATAGCTACTATTAGCTTTATTCATTTTCACAGAGGTAGGTTTTTTCAATTTAGACCGTTGTCTGGTATTTATCTTTATTTTTCGATGTTTTCAGGTAATTTTCGAAACAACTAGCAACGTTCTAAGTCAATCGAACTGTGTGTTTACATCTTTTTGTGGTTAATTCCAATGATATTTCCCACAATTTACCTGTTTTTTTTTCAATATTCATCACTATTCGTCACTATTAACTGTTTAATTATCCGAATCTGCGTCGGCGATATTTTGTCAGGAGTTTACACTACTTATTTATGAATGGGAAATGCTATGTTAAGATTGCGTTGTTGCACGATTGCTTCGTGGGCTTGCAATGCGGAAAATACACTTTCCGCAAGTGTTAGGTATAAGCCTTTTTCACTGTTATGCATGTGGAAAAGTGCTACTTTCTGCACGCTGCGCTGGTAGGAAAAAATTAAAATGATTTTGGGAAAATTCAGTTTTTTTGTCTCTCTCTAGGAGTTCTTTGAACTTCGAAACTTACTAACCGGTATTTTGTTGATTACCTTAATACGCAACTTTGTCCCTATTTAAGCGACTTCGTATCTCTTATAGTTTCCGAAATCCCAATCTTGAGTGTCGAATTTGAAACACCTTATATACAGTTATATTAACAATGAATATTGTAATATTATATTTGATCCACGCTTCGAGTATGGCGCAAATTCTTCTTTTTGGCGGATTTTGTACCCAAGACTACAAACTGTGTACACGGGCGCAAGTGAAAAATAGTTTTTGTAGCTAAACCAAGTGATTCAAGAGGTACTACTTGATTTAGTATGAAAATTAGGGGTCCATGTAAGACAAGTCGTATAAATCTTCTCTAGTTTGACAAATATTTTTCAAGAAATCGACTTTATATTCACTAGATCCATTACCTCAAAATCGCCTTCATATTGGTCTGTGCCCTAAGCGCAATTTGGTGCACCGGATTAATGAAATCGGGTCTAATCTTTTTTTTTTTTTATTTAACAGATAGTACCGCATCAACCTCGTAGGGTTATTAGCGGCGTGGACGGCACAATAATCTATGTATTGAAGTACATGTCAATGTCTTTGATAAATTTCACAAGTTTATCTGTTTGATGCAGTAACACTTCACTGATGTCATTAGAAAGGTGGTTGAGACTTCTGGCATTTTGATAAGTAGGGCACTCCATCAGGATGTGAACCACCGTGAGCCGCTGGTTGCACGTTGAACAAACTGGGGCATCGGTTCCTTCGAAGATGTGCTTGTGAGTCACTAGTGTGTGGCCTATCCGGAGACGTGACATAATTATCTGGTTCCTTCTTCCTGAAGGTAGGGTGAATCGCGTGTTGACATCTGGAGCAATTGCGAGTAGTTTGCTGTGACTGCCATTCCATTTCTGTTGCCAAAGACTGGTTATGTGCACTTTTATTAGTCCTTTCAAATCTTGGTAGGGTGTACGAATCACACTTCTGCTTGAAGGGAGTGCCGCTCTTGATGCTTCTTTGTCAGCCTCTTCGTTGCCTGGGATTCCAGTATGTGAGGGTACCCACAGAAACTTTATCCTCTTCTTGTCGTTGTACAGCAGACGCAGCATGTCCTTAATTCCCCTGAGTATGCAGTTGCGAGGGTACAACTGTTTGATACCTTCCAGTGCACTCAGCGAATCCGTCACTACTAAGAAGTTGGCATCTGATGTTGTTCGTGCCAGATTGAGCGCTTCCTTGATGGCTGTCAGCTCTCCAGTGTAGACGCTGCAATGTTGTGGTAGTGAAGAGGATATTCGTTGATTATCAGAGACTGCGGCATAGCCAACCCCATGTGATGACTTTGAGGCATCTGTAAAAATCAGTTTGAAGTTCGGATGAGACTCGATGATGACTTGGTATCTGTTATATATTTCTCTATGGTCGGTTTGCATTTTTTGATATATCTTGAGGGTTGTGTCGAAATCTGGTAGTGGTACTGTCCAGGGTGGAGAGTTTGATGAACAAGGGATAATACTGCGAAAGAGATCTGTATTGAAGTTAGTCCCTTTGATTCTTTCTGCCATTGTGAAATGTTTGGTGTTGTGGGAAGAATGAGTATCCTCTCGGGTAAACATGACGTTGAAAGCTGGATTATTTGGTGTGCTTGCTGTTCGCGCCGCGTAGCACAGAGTTAGATATTGTCTTCGGAGGCTTAGAGGCGGTTCGTTAGCCAAAACGTATATGCTGTCAATAGGGCTTGTTTTAAGAAGTCCCATTGCGAGTCTAATTGCTGTGTTTTGGAGCACATCAAGTTTTTTTAATACAAATTGGCTTGCAGTTCCATAGCAAATGCTACCGTAATCTATCTTACTCCTTATGGTGACTTGGTATAGTTTTAGCAAAGATATGGTGTCGCTTCCCCATGATTTATTAGCTAGTACTTTCATGAGGTTTAATCTTCTCTGACATACAGATATTATATGTCTGATATGGAGATTCCATTTTAAAGTAGAATCGAATATCGTCCCCAAATACTTGATGTTGTCTGTCATTTTGATTTCGTTATTATTAAATGTAAGGGCTGTGTTGGTTGTTTGAAGTTTGGATTTGCTGAAGATTATAAACTTGGTCTTGTCAGCTGAGAATTGGAATCCTGATTCCATGGTCCAGTGTTCTATTTTATTAAGTGTTTCTTGAATTATTGCTTTGCCGGTGTATATGTTATTAGTGGTTAGGTATATAATCAGGTCGTCGGCATATAAGAGATATCTTATAGGCAGTTTAAAAAATTTGGTTATGCCATCTATGGCTATCAGAAATAGTGTAGTACTCAGCACAGATCCTTGACGTGTACCATTTTCTACGATCTTAGTATTGGATGTGAAACCGTTTGTTCTAACTTTTATAGTTCTGTTATTTAAAAAGTTCTTGGTGAATGCTAGTATGTCACCACAGATACCCATATTCAGCATAGTTTTCAGAATTAGATGTTTCCAGGTCATATCAAATGCCTTATGTATATCGAAGAATACTGCAAGTACTTTTTGGTTATTAGCAAAGGCTGCTTTTATGGTCGATTCAAGAACAACAATGTTGTCAATGGTAGATCTGTTGCTACGAAAACCATTCTGATTATTGCTCAATAACATTTGTTTTTCTAGAAACCATACTAACCGTTTGTTGAGGATTTTCTCAAGCAGCTTACACATAGTACAGGTAAGGGATATGGGCCGGTAAGAATTGGGTATATCTTGAGGCTTGTTTGGTTTCAGAAGTGGAATTACAATCGCTTCACTCCATATGCTTGGAAATTGTCTGGATCTAAGAATGAAGTTGTATATATCTTTTAGCATGTGTTTAGCATTGGATGGGAGATTTCTTAAGAAAATATATGGGATGTCATCAGGTCCTGGACATGAACTTGTTGATGTAGTTTGTGCTTCCTCGAGTTCTTCAATAGTGACAGCGTGGTTAAGCGGTCCATCGTCGTCGGGTACAATTAAGTTTTCTTCTTCAGTCTGAAGCTTGAGATGTAAAAATGAGCAATCTAGGTTGTCGTTACTGGATGATGCTTGATAGAAGTTAGCAAAGATTTCTGGAATCTCGGCTTTCTGGGAGACTATTTTCCCTTCGACTGTTACTGTATCTATTTCTTGATACGTTCGTGCACCACTAATTTTCCTTATCTTCTTCCACATTTCCGATACCGGGGTTGAGGGTTTGATGGATGATACGTATGATTGCCAAGATTGTTTTTTGTTTTTCTTGATGAGATACCTAGCTTTGGCTCTGAGCTTCTTGAAGTTGCATAAGTTCTCCTGTGTGTTATGTCTTTTGAGCTTATTGAATGCGTGTTTACTCTCTGACAGTGATTGTGAAATTTCATTGTTCCATCATGGAACAGGTGTTTTGTTTTTTAGGGGCTTCGTTTTACCTACAGCTACAACAGCAGCCTCCTTCATCATGTGGGTGAAGTTGTTTAAAGTTATATTAATATCTGTTATTTCTATTGTGTTTATTTTTTCTTCAACTAAAAGTCGATACTCGCACCAATTAGCACCTTCAATTTTCCATCTTTGTGGTGGTAATGAAGTAACTCTGTTGTCTCTACTGTGAGCTATTCCAATCGGATAATGATCACTGTCATATAAATCTGGTACTGTACTCCATGAGAGAAAAGGTGCTAGGGAGGCGTCACAAAGAGATAGATCAATAGATGAGAAACTTCCGTTAAAAGCATTAAATCTAGTGTTGCAGCCGTTATTCAGTAGAATTAGGTTGTTTTGATTAATAATGCTTTCCAGGTCTGCACCATATTTCGTCGTCCGTACCGCAAACAGGCGTAACTGATTTTATATAAATTTTCAGTAGAAGCAAAATGAATATCGAGAGTTATTTGATTTCATATATCTTTACTACTTTAGATAATATGAGCATAATTTCTTCCAATAACATAGCTAAAAAGTGTGTTCATCATCTTCTGAGACGTATATAGAGGTAAGGAAATTCATATTCTCAGCTAAATATGTTTTTTATCTTTTTTTTCCAGGTACGCCTCTTTGCGGTAATCTTGACAATTACAATAGTCTAGCGGTTTGAAGATACGCCTTTGACTCCATATGGAATAAAATTAGATTCAATAAAAAAACACTTTATTCTCAGATGTAAATAATACTCAAGCAACTCAAGGATAATACAGAACAAAAATAAGAAGATGATTTCAAACAAAAATATTTATGGCTGGTCCTCATGTGGTAGTGAATCATAAAAACGTTGATGTTCTGGTAGAGTGATGGCAGGCCTATCGCCTTGGCAAAGTGAGGTCAAATCATTATATTTTTTATTTGTGATTTTTTATAGGTCGCTATTCAGAGGAGACAGCTCTTTTTTAAAATATCGGAAATATTTCTTTTCAAGGTTATGGACCTGTAGTCTGTTTGCTTATGGCTAGTCTTGAAATAGATTTTGTTGCAATTATCACTTGTCACTTTGAATTCCATCATATTTTTCCAATTCACATCCATGTCTTTATCATCTTTTCGAATAGATAATACTCTCAAGTCTGATGCGAGTTTTTTGAGGTCAAAAAAATTTAGATAGTCTAAGGGACGAACCTTTTATGGCTGTTTCTTCCTTGCTAATGCATAGACTGGCAATAACTGGCTCGGCACAATAATTTCACCTGCATTTTTCAAAGCGTAACTTATTGCACTATGTGCTGAATCGCCTTCATTTTGTCCATTACAAGAGGCAACACATTTTAACGATATCTCTTCGTTTGAGCAATTACTGACGAGATATAAAAGAGTGGTAGCCATTATCCAATTCTCATTTTGACTACTACAACCATCAGCAAATAAGTCAACAGTATTGTCTTGTTTGTCTTTTTCGGAAATAAATAAATAAACAGCAGTCGATATTTCCGAGCTACCACGTTTAGTTTCAGTCTCACTCCATGTATAACAGAAACATTCTCGAGATGCTACTTTATACATATACTCTAGGCGCTGAAGAAAGAAACTAAACCCAAACAAATACACGCATATTGCTCGTGAGTGAGTGTTTAGGCGCAGGAGACATTACAGGACCGCATCAAGATATTATGGGTAGTCATCAAAAATTTCATACAAGATAATTATTATCTTCTACAGTAAATTTCAGTTAGAGATTCACAAATGAGTTAACTACACTTTTTAGTTATTAGTAAGTAAGCTGCGCGCACTCATTCAGAAGAGGAACTTGAATCTTCTGAATCGTTTAAATGAATTATTAGAGGTTCAATTTGGGTATCGATGACATTGTCCAAATCCCACATTTTGACCTCAACCTTCTCCCGAACGTGGCGGATACAGTTTTTCCATTCCTCTGCCGTAACTCTATTGACTGCGATGTGAAAAAGATTTTTAACATCAGAAAATTTATAAGTATTATTATTCGACGCCACGTATTGCTTTATGTTGGCCCAAATCAGCTCAATAGGGCTCAGCTCACAATGGTAGGGTGGCAGTCTCAAGACAGTTTTATTTTGTTTTTTGGCCATTTCGTCGATCATTTTAAAATCGTATTTGTATTTATGTCTATTGACTATACTTATCAGTTCACCCTTGACCATTGTTTCATCAAAATCGATCTGTTTTGAGGCCAGCCATTGTTGTGTTTGCTTTTTTAGTTGCCATTGTGGGAATTTTTTCTATTTTTCTAGAATGGTACGGGGCATTATCCAGTACAATAACAGCGTTATTCTCCAGCTTTAGTAACATTTTGGAGAACCAATTTCCAAAGGAATTGCCGTCCATCTCCTCATGATAGTCCCCTGTCTTTTTTGATTCAAAGGCCCACAGTGCTTCGGGAACAAAGCCGTCTTCACTACCTACGTGACAAATGATCAGCCGTTTGCCTTTTCCTGGAAATAAATTATTCCTTACACTATGGATTGAATAAATTTGAAGGATTGAGGCAATTGAGTTCATTTAGCTGAATTTAAGAGTCACGGAATGCTGATCAAAAACTGAGAAACGTAGAAAATTGAAGTTTGCAACTTCTCAAAACCCATTCAAAGCAAATTGACTGCACCCAAAAATGATAATAAATTTCAAAATAACGCTTAAAAGAGGGTCGAAGTTTTTTTTCTAATGACTACACTGCGAATGCACCATTTTTGGAGAATGTCACACATTATCTGCTATCACAGCATATTATTTGCCCGAATTTATCAAAATTAAATTGCCGGATAGATGAAGGAGCTTACCTGCAGGATTTTTCAATCCAGCCGAAAGACCGTCTAGAAAAGCCTGCCTTGATGATGTTACTGATTTGTCGACCCAAACTTTCGCTTGAGTATGTCCAGCATTCACCCACGTTTCGTCCAAATAGTAAATTTTTCTTTTTTCATCGCGAAACTTCCGAATCTTCCTAAGGTATTCCCTTCTCCACACAACAATTTCTTCTTTCTCTATTAACATACTGTTTCTTCCCCGTTTCAAGAATCGAAAATTAAGTTCCTTCAAAAGTTTTCGGAATGTGGTTCTTTTAAATGATGGAAGATCCTCATCAGCATTAACTAATCTTAATATCTTATCTACTGTAGGTATCTCATTTCGGAAGAAAAAATTATGCACTTTCCTCCTGATGGCAGTTCTGTCAAAGTCATCTACTCCGTCCGTTATCCTTTTTCTTGCAGGATACGGTTTTGGCTCAGAAAGTGAGTGAGTGCTCCTATATTCCTTAATGATCCTATAAACACTGGACCGACATACTCCAGAAATATGTGCTACTTTACATATAACTTCGTCCACGACCAAATCGGGTTTTTCTTGAATTTGGTTTTTGTATATATTTAATATTATTTGTTTTTCATTTGCACTTAAATGTAGCTTCTTAGCCCTTTTTTTGGGTGGGGTTGCGCTGATGTCAACCACTTCGTCGGCTGTATCTGTGTCAGACATCGTATCTTAGGCAATATATAAACAAAACGTTCCACTCGCGAAAAACGAGTATACGCTACTGAATGCGTAATGCGTATGCAATGCAATCCTGTGCGTGAATTAACTGTTAGATGCCTGTCGTGTCATCTACAATCACGTTTACAAGTCCAAACCTGTGCAGATTCGTAGAGCGCCGACGACTGCTAGTGACCTTGAATTTGTCTGTAGATCGATGTTACTCCAGTCAATTTAGGTTCAAAGTGGATGTTTTCTAAACCAATTTGTTGTTCCTACATCAAAAATATATCGATGATGTTTTGTACTGGGAGCTCATGAAAGATCAAGGTAACTTATTTTAACAGTCATCCTTTTTCTAGTCTCAAGATGACACGAAAAAGGGTCTGTGGATTCACTAGAAATACACTGCCGAGGATGTTTAGACCTAAAGTGACTGGAGTATATCCGTGGATGCTTTCGAGGGATCTGTTCACGTGCTGATCACTGTTTACGTTTAATGTCTTTCTACAGCGCCCAGAGTTTAGTTAGATTGTAGACAGCAAGCCGTGTTTTTTAAATACGGAACAATGATTAGAAATTGGTAAGTATATAACTTGTTGGAGATCAAATGTAGCACATATAGCCTTTGTATCATTTTTAGCTTTTTCTTTGCAGCTATTCTTTACTTCACTTACCGTTTCCTTTTCTAAAATGTGGGCCAAGTAATCCTTTTCCAAATTAGCCTTCACTTCTTCCGATCCTTCTCTGTAACACTTGCAAAGACCACATTGATCTTTTTTTGGTTTGTGAAATGAGACGTTTATTTGTTGGTCTTCCAGTTTGTACATGTGATACATTGTATCCAGAGATAAATGTTCATGTAGGTATTGTTTAGTTGAGGACTTCCGGCAGTAATGTGACTCTACTCTGGGGAACCTATTTATGTGCTCTATAATACTTTTTCTAATGACTATGTCTCTTGATGATTGTAACTCCCGTCGACCTCCACGATTTTTTTTTCTAGCACACCCGTTGTTCTATTCAATTTCTTTATTGCGGTTCTGCAAACTTTCTCACTTATCCCAAGGGTCCCAAGGAACATTTTTTTACAAACTAATTGTCGGGTACCTTCTAGAGGTAAGACAAAATAATGTGTTTGCTTACGGCGTCGATCATTGCTATTTGTAGTTCTATGTTTTGGGTTTTCAGATAATACAAAACGTGCTACATACTCTCTTTGTTGTTGGAGGTCACCAAGACTATGAAGCTGTGAGAATATCATTGTTCTTAAAGGACTGCTGAACAAATAACACATCCTTTTTCTTTTCTTACACATTGCTATATTGCAGATTCCCTTAAGTGCTTTCTCCTTCACAATTTTCTTAGTTACAGGCGAAATATATGTTTCGCCTTGATTCCTCAACGTTTTTGCAATTCTTCTTTTATCTTCTCTGACTTTTTTTTTCCTATCACCTTCTGCCTGGGAACCTTCTACAAAAAAATCTTCAGGGCGCCTCTCTTCCTGTTTCTCTTTGCTAAGTACATTGCTAAAATGCTTCCAACATAGCAAAATTGAGCATTGAAAGCAGGAACTGAACACATCTCCTTTACAGCTTTTAACTTCACAAGTTTGATGATAGTCCGGATCTTCCGGATTATAAATCTCGACTGCAGCAAAGGGATCGCTTTCAGATGAGGTGTGACTCAATTCGGACAAAACAACATATGTATATGTAAGTCAAAAGGACATATCTTAGTTACCACTGAGAGAGTAGCAAAAAATGGACACCGCATGTAGGCGTATCTTCATTTACGCCTATTTGCGGTGTATTGTATTTCATTTCTGAGAGATACGACGTTTAGTTTTATGCTGATATCTCTATGAGCGAACTACTTAGAGTTACGCCACTTTGCGGGATTGAAGATATGCTGTACCTTGTTGATTTGAATCCGTTAACTCGAATTTGATTTTTTGTCAGATACGCCTGTCTGCGGTATGGACGACGATTTATTAGTACAGTCTGATCCCCAGATTACGTTGTGGCTATTGAAATCACCTACTATTATTCTGGGTGTAGGGATTTGTTTGGTAGTAGTTCTGTATGAATATTGGTCCTAGTTAGTATGGCTACACCTCCAGCTGCTTTTCCTTGATCTTCACGATTCTTGTAGAAACCTTTATAGTTTCTAGGTGCATAATCGTTTTTAGTGTGTTTAAGGTGGGTTTCCTGGAGACATAAAACTGAAGGATTTTGGTCTTTTATTAGTAAATTAAGTACTTCTTTATGAGTAAAATAGCCGTTGAGATTCCACTGAACTAGGAACACTGAGCTCATTTGCTTAAAATGGAAATGCTGGCTAGTATGTTTGGACAGAGGAGTGTGAGGCATCGTTGTCCTCGGATGATTCGCTGTCTAATTTCTTTGATACTTTTTTCTTGATTTTTGTGATCCGTATCTTAGTTTTGCGATCTTTTATATGGTCATAGAGCTCCGTTAAGAATGTGATTGTTCCAGAAATGTCGCTGGTGTAATTTTTCAAAGTGGCGAGTATATCTTTCGAATTGTAGGCATTTGCTATCATGTCTAAAATTTCTGTTTTGTTCATTCTGATTTGGTCATACTTGGATTTTATGAAGTCGGCCGCTATCTCTAAGGGGTCTTCTGAGGCATCTATTGTTTTTACTTTTTTGGTAGGTGCTAAAATTGGTTCATGATGGGGTTGGATATCATGAGAAAGCGATAATTGTCTTTTTGGCTGGTTAAACAGTGCGTCGGCTCGTTTATCTTTTTCAATTGGTTCTGGAGTGCATTGTGAAGAATGTGGTTGAGTTATTGTTTGTTGGGAGTGAGTTTCCGATATATGTGTATTACTTAATTCCATGGCGGTACTCCTTTCGGAAGTAGTCTTAGCTTGGCTGTCATTTACATTATGCGACATGATTGTTTCAGATGTCTCAGTTTGTCGGTTAGGGCATCGAACAAAGTTGTGCCCTGCTTGTTTACAGTGCGCGCAGGTACCGCTGTCAGATGATATAAAGATGCGATATGTTGTATCATTGTAGGTGAGGGTTGTCGAGTCTGGAATTGCATTTTCATTGGGAGCGATGAAAACCTGACGACGGAAGCTCAGTACATGGCTGTGTTCGCGGTCGGACTCAGGCATGCCTACTCTTAGGTGTGTCATGCGCGAGATTATCTTTATTCCCAGATTCTTTAGCGAGTCCTCAATAGTGTTATTAGGAATTGACGGGCAGACGTTAGAAATCACTAGTCTCTGAGATGGGGTTACTAATCTTCTGATTTCAATCTCATGCTCTTGGATTCTGATAATCTTGTGGTTTGAGATGATTGAGTCTACTGTCGCAGTGCTATTTAGATATATGCATATTCGGTTATTTGAAATTCTTGATGCGTATAGTATGCTTTTTGGACCTACAATTGAAATCGGATCTAATCGTTTCAGTGATATTGACTCTTATTTCAGACAGTTTGTATGTACATGCTACTCACTCCAACTGAGTCGATAAATCGGAGGAAAATGAAGTTTTTAGTCCATACTCCACAGTGCAATGGAATATCTAGAAGATTTCTAGAACAAGCACTGTTTATTGCGCCAACATATTAGCGTTGTACGAAATAATGTGTAAGCTGGGTGAATATTCGTGCTCATGCCAATATGCCTTGGAGTATTTCCGACCCTATTTTATGGCAAGTAGCTTTTATGCGATGTGAATACGCAGCACTTGTTTACCCTCGCTCGTTATTAGTTATTTTATGAATTCGTTATATCATCGCGCAACGCGCATCTGGATATCAGAAAATGGTTAAATATATTGATCTGCGGCATTTGTGTAAGCTGTGTATTGGAATTCAGATTTTATGTCTACTTTACTCGCTAGTGCATTTAATAGTAGATATCGTGTTTTAAAATGAAATGAAATGAAGACATACATCAATTTTACAATCCACCCTGAAAAGGATTGACTAATATTACAAGCTACGGTATGAGATTTGGTGAATAATGCAAGCGGTAAACGGGTAACGATTTCAGAAACATAAATATTAGTCGGCATTTTATGTAACAATTGAAGAAAGTCCGTTTTTAAGCTAATTTGTTCCCGCTGAATTCGATAATGCCTGTTGCCAAGCCGAAATCTGGACCTTATCTTGTGTGTATCTTGTGTTTTTTATTTTTTTTTTCACATTACACAGGTCCTTTGTGACATTATTTAGGTTTTCCTTTAAAATATTAACTTCTTGTTAGCTGTCGTACACTTTGTGCATTTATTCGTGTTGCGTAAAACGTCATCACAATTGAGCCATTTAGTATTTCGGGTGTAAATTGTGCTTCAAATCATCATTTACCACTTCATGTGATCGATCGGATTATCGAAAGTCTGACTCCAAAATGAACCACATTGACCTCAGATCAGATATTGAAAAAGTAGACTGTTTTTGATATTTATGCTCTTGAAAAGTACCTGAATGAATTACCTGTTTGCTTTGGGTACCTGAAATATCAAATAGATTATTACCAACGCGTAGGAGGTGTGGAGTCAATCTAGTTGTCTCCATTTTTTTATTCCGAAGGCCTGCTGAGTAAATCATAGAATTAGTATAATATTATCGTTGATCAAGAAAATAAATTCAGGCTCTGTCCTATTGAATTCGGAATAGATATTTTTTACAAGTACTGTATAAAAATGTCACCGATGGCCGACGGTGACGCTGCAAAAGGGTACTGGAGATACGAATCTATGTTACTATTTACGACCTTACAAAAAATAATTATAATGCGGACTCACAGAGGGTTGATTGATTGTTGAGATACAGGGATTCAATTTTTCTTTCGAAGGTGGTAGTCCTGCTTCTCCAAAATGTTGACCTTTGAAAGTCATAGTCAACATTTAATATCCAATCATTGAAGTAAGCTGGAAAGTCATTATTCTAAAAGACATTATACCCAAGCAGAAAATTAGGATTTTTCCCTAGGTCTAGTCACACTTTTAAATGAGACAATATTTTTGAACATGAGGTTTTGAAATGATTTTTTTCAAGTCAAGCAGTCGTCCGAACGTCACATTTTCTCCTTTATTAATATCCGCACGGGTATTATGTAAAAAAACTATAAAACGTCAAAAAAAAAACTATAAAATGTCATCTTGTACACTAGGTAGTTTTTAAGGTGCAGACAGTCATTCCACGTTTGCTCACTAATATCGTTATGAGCGTCCATCTATGGAGGAACAGCTCAACTACAGGCATTGTTGGTTGCATATGTTTTGTAAAGCTGAGTAGTCTATAGTTTTCATCTCTGAGAAGAAAGTTGGTTGTATAGCAAGATCGCTTCTGCATGATTGTGTCTATTGGTCTGCATGTGTATAAAATCAGTGATATTTGCTGTGTGAGAAAACCATTACTGAATATGCTGCCAATGAAGTATATCTATTACACGTGAAACGCCATAACTATTCCATGGGACCGCTTGACAATGGGCCTATCACGCCACGGCGGTCGGTATGGACCGCTTTGTATTTAATTTATTTCCACGGTGACTCCAGCCAGAGGTCCGTATTTAAATTCATTTTAGCGTTAGATATGAACCGCTGTAGCTTTTATGGATTATACCCATATGCTAACCTTTTGGTTTATTCTTGTTTTAAATAGTGATACAATTTTTTTAATTCACATCTATACAACAACTTTGACAAAAACAAATAATATTCCAGTGAAAGTACATATATACATAGGGTGTTTCAAAACTAAGGGATCAAACTTCTAGGGGTTGTTTGACGTTTAAATCGGTGTATTCAGGTTGGAGGAAGACATTTTGAATAATTGTTGTGATGATATGAATGTTTTCTACTGTGACACTGTATAACCCCTACAAGTTTGATTCGATAGTTCTAAAAAACCGTGTATATATATATATATATTGAAAATTTTGAATAATTGTTTTTTCTCATAATAAAATAATAACTGTTTAATTCAATTGTCCATCTCATCAACAATATAGTTCGTTCAACTGCCTCTAGTCTGTTTACAAGTTCTTATTTAACATATCTTGATAAATCACATCATCAGAAGTGATTTGTCAATATAGCACACATTTTACAAAAAATTTTCGTTGCATCCATCGACACTGACACCACAACCTCTGTCATATGTTTCATCCTACTTTTGCTTCTGTGGCCACCATTTTGTGCAGGATCAGGTGGTTCACGATGTAATTTTAACTTCCGTTCTAAATATTTTATAATATTTTTTTAATAATATATTCCTGACATACAGCTGTGTGTATTTTATATTAATTTTAACGAATGTACCATGTATCCAGCTTTCACCAGGCTACTAATTGTTTCCCTCAACCTAACCGTTAATAACATTTAGCAACAATCTCACATACTATTGTAAGTAATTCAAAATCATTTTGCACAATAGTTGCTATTTCTTCTCAATGTTGTTGCAGCTCCTGATGAAGATGCCAAAGTCCATTGAAAGCTAGAAACTAATAAAGTATAAAGAGTCCTCATTGCTTGAATTTTGTCGAAGTACCCAACTAAAGGCGGAAGCCTTATTTTTCAGCTAACTGGTCTAGACGACAATGACCACGTCTCAATATATATTTATAAAGAGAATATGATCATGCGGAGAAAGGTATATAACAACAAGTAGGAAAATAATGGGCAAAATCCGCAAAAAGGAGGAAAGTGGATTCGAGCAGAAAATAGGATAGGTAACCCGAGCGATATGTATTTTCTGCTCGAACCCACTTTCCTCCTTTTTGCGGATTTTGCCCATTATTTTCCTACTTGTTGTTAAATACCTTTCTCCGCATGATCATATTCTCTTTGTAGACCCTTTGGGCTTGAAGTACCACAGCAAGTGGCTATAACCGGCCGCGTGGTGGTGGTTAGACGTCTCCTTGAAAATACGAGGTCGTATAGCCTTTTTATACTACAATGTGTAGGTTGGCTCTTGTTGTGGACTTCGCGTGTCGTTTTTTTTTCCTCCAATTTCGTCTCCTCAGGTTACACCCGTATCCGGATGTGTGGGCATGTGTATCTACTTTTGTAGTTTCATATGTGCATTCATTTCGGGCCTGATGAAGCCAACCAGCAGAAATACGTATCGCTCGGGTTACCTATCCTATTTTCTGCTCTAATCCACTTCCCTCCTTTTTGCGGATTTTGCCCATTATTTTCCTATTTTTTGTTATATACATTTCTCCGCATGATCATATTCTCTTTGTAGATCCTTTGGGCTTGAAGTACCACAGCAAGTGGCTATAACCGGCCGCGTGGTGGTGGTTAGACGTCTTCTTGAAAATTCGAGGTCGTATAACCATTTTATACTACAATGTGTAGGTTGGCTCTTGTTGTGGACTT